TACGACGTAAGCGCAGGACCCGTTCATTGACTCGTGGACAAGGGGGTGGATGGTGAGGTATTAAATAAGAAGTGTCCCCGAGTCACGTAATGCTTGATCGGTGATTTCTGAGGCCGGGAGCCGAGAGGCGATTTGGGTGACTTACGCTGCGCACAAAAAGTAGTGTGCACAAACAACGCGCACAGTATTTTTAAGGTAAAGATGAATTCCACTTCTGACCTCTTTGAGTCAAGTGCAAGAGAAGCTGTTCTCAGGGAGGAGGACAACTTCTCAACAACCCACCGAGACGGTGCTCTCGCGGGAGGGACTCAAACAGAAAGAAACTTATCATAATAAAAGCTTCGGCGAGATACAGCAACTGAAAGCGGACCTTGCCAACTGACGCATCTGCATCTGAGTTAACCTATCCTATCTAACAAGTGCCCTGACGGCAGCCCCCCCCCCTGACGGCAGGCCCCCCCCCACTACATTATGACTAAAGCGTAAGACATCATGTGGTCGTCTTTATAAACGACCCAACACGTTTCTTTTGAGAGGAATTCAGGCGGCCGCTACCTTCCATCATGCGGCACAGCGCTCGTCGTCGTGCTTGTTTTGTTGGGCACTCGAGGTTGCCGTGTGTGTGTCGACGAGTGTTGTTGCGGCCTGGGTCCAGCGGGGTGGGGAGTGTCCAGCGGGGTGGGTGGAAATTTATGGACTCAATTGCGACGAAATTCCGCGAGATCTTCCGACGGGGGTTGTGCGAGTATGCGGTGGAGAAAGGACGGTTGCCGGCTGGGACGGACGTGGAGGGGACGTCGGTGGAGGTAGTGCAGGCTGCGTTAGAGGGGGAGGAGTACTTGGGGAAAGGTGCGGTGGATGCACCGTTGTATATTTCGTGTGTTGTTGTTGATGCCCTAGAACAAGCGAACGAGGACCGGTTGTGGATTCGGCAGAAGGGGTACGAGATTTACCAGAACCTGAAGAGAGACCACTCCGTGCGCCACCGTGTCCGTATTATTTCTGGGGACTTGTCGGTGGCGGCATTGGTCTCGATGGATGCCAAGGAACTTGCCCCCGAAAGCGTGAAACGGCGTCGTCGTGAAGAAGAACAAAAGTACCTCAAGGAACAAGTTATTCTCACCGACGCCTCCCCCGGTACCCTCAAGAAAACACACCGCGGACTCGAGGCTATGCACGAGACACCCCTAGACACTCCTCAAGGCAGCCTTAGCCCCCGCCTCGAGGCGGTCCAAGACACCAAAGCATACACTGAAACAAACACCACCTTCGGGAACGCCTCCTTTTCTGTGAAACTGCACTGGGACACTCGCCAACTCGGAGACTGCCCCGGTGCCACAGAACTGTTAGATAACTGGAACAACTCCGCCTGGACAGAACTACACTCCTTCGCCGACCTCAAGCTCCCTCACCTGCCACCAAACCCCTACCCTTGCACGCGGGAACAGGTCACGACTCGCCTACAACGACGCTACCTCTGGATCAAACAACGACACCCGGAACTTCCGCAACTCTACGACGAAACAGCCAACATACTTGCTTCCCAAGCCACGTAGCTGCATCGACAAGCCTCCACCACAGGCTAGTCTACCAACGGCCTAACGGCCGTCAAAAGACCGCTAAAGACCGCTAAGGTCGTCTTAATCAAATCTGGCGAAAGGGCCTAGTTCAAGTAAAAAAGTCTCTCCGCGCGCGCGCGTGTTTGTCAGCGCGCGTGTTTGTCATCGAAGGCCAAGTCCTCGGTCTGACAGCCGCGTTCGCAGAGTTGCAGACAGGACTCTTCAGTTTGCATGCCGCGCTCTTCGGGTGCGCAGGGTCTTGTTTGCGTATGGGCTTCGAATTTGATGGACCGAAGACGGAAGCGATCCTTGGGCGTAGAGTACGCAGTGGAGGCGGTGGAGAGGCCGGGGCTGTCATTGGGCCGCGGGGCGAGCGGGCGTTTGACGTAGTCTGCGCGCCCCGCTCCAAAGTCGAGCGTCGGCAACACCGCGCAGGATGCACGCCGCCCACTCCCGGAAAATTCCGGCCGTGGCACGAACGAACGCTGCACCGTCGCGGACTCCGTCAGCCGCGGCACCGATTCGGCGAACCTCGCCTCGCTTTCATACACTGGCATTCGCGGAGGAGCACGGGCCTCGTAGGAAGGTGTCCTGTCCAGCATCTGCCGCTCAAGCACTGGTCGCTCCATCGACTTTTCTTGCGCCGGTCTCTCCATCATCTGCCGGGAGTCGTACCTGGCTGCCGGGTCGTACCGAATCCCGGCTTCATGTCTCACTTCATACCTCCCGGGGTCGTGCCTCCCGGGGTCGTGCCTCCCGGGGTCGTGCCTCCCAGAGTCGTGCCTCCCAGAGTCGTGTCTTCCGAAATCATACTTTCCCGAGTCGTATCTCCCGGATTCGTGCCTTCCGGAGTCGCACCGACTGGGGTCATGTCTTGGCGGGTCATATCGGGGGGCTTCCTGTCTGCTGAGGTCGTAAGACTGTCTGTAGGCGGGACGCATGCCTGAGTCCCCCAGCCGCAAGTCGACCGAGACTCGTTGTCCGCCAAAAGGGAATCGTTGCGACGATCGGCAGTCCGTGCTGGGCACTTCGCCTTCTGCGCTGCGTCCTATGCCACCGCGTCCGTCGCCCAAGCTGCGGTCCGACAGCTGCAGCGGTCCCGAGGAGGAGAAGTCTTCGCTGTCAGGCAGCTCTTTGAGGCCGTTGCCGTTACTGGAATTGTAGCTAGTGTCGTAGTGTGAATTGTCCAGGTGTGAATTGTCCAAGCGTGAATGATTCTCATTGTCCAAGCGTGAATGATTCTCATTGTCCAAGTGGGAATGATCGTCCAAGTGGGAATGATCGTCCAAGTGGTAATGATCGTCCAAGTGGGAATGATCGTCCAAGTTGTCGTACCGTATGTTGTCACACCGCATGTTGTCGTACCGCATGTTGTCGTACCGCATGTTGTCGTGCCGCATGTTGTCGTGCCGCATGTTGTCGTACTGCATGTTGTCATAGGTACCTTTGGCCGTGAAGCTGCCGCTGGCCGACGGGGCAAAGTATATGGATTCATCCTCTTGGCCCTCTATCAGCTTTTTCCGCTGCTCCAATAACTCTTTCAACTGATTCACGGCCTCGTTTTGCTCGCTAGTTAATCTCACTTCCACGTCAGCCATAGAATGTCTCCTCCGGCCGGAAGCCGTGGCATCGAACAGCGTTTTGATACCGGCCAAGGTGAACAGTGAATCGCGCCGGCGCGACGAAGGCTTCCTGTTTGGGGAATGTACACTCATTCGTCCCGCATTAAAAATTCGCAACCTAAGTTTAACACCCGAGCTGTGACCCGAGCTGTAACCCGAGCTGTGACCCGGGCTGGCAGATCTGCGGGTCGCAGATCTGCAGGTCGCAGATCTGCGGATCGTAGACCGTCACAGACTCTGATCTAGGGCGTGTTTCCCACGCCCCGCTTTGCGTCCCGCATGCTACGCCCATCATTGCCTGCGAAGCTAGCTAGGCGCGAAGATAGTTTTCCCGAACCTAGGCGCTACGCGCGAAGACGACGGGTGCGTCCTTACTTGAGGTCTCCTGCATGTGAGCGTGCCCCATTGCCCCAATAGGCGTTCCGTTTTTCCCTAGCTACACATCGCCCGCCAGTGAGCTGACGGACTTTGAGGCTCTCTCGGTTCGCGCTCGACCTGTCGCGCTCGACGTGTCGCGCTCGACCTGTCGCGCTCGACCTGTCGCGCTCGACGAACATTCCGACACCGCGAACATTCCCCGAAAGATCCAATACTCGTAGGCGTCAGTAGTCAACGCCTTTCCCAGTGGTTCATGTATGCCCTTCGCGAAACGAGGACTCCGGTGACGGAAAACTCGCGCGAGATGTGCGCTGGCACTGCTGTTTCAGCGGGCCACTTGGTGACATCTCGGGTGCCACCAGGTAGCACACGTGGCGTGGTCGATGCCAACATCGGTGACACCCTAGCGTGCCAGGTCGACACCTTGGATTGGAGTACCGCGTCATGGGTCTCGAGTTGACCCCTGACTTAAGCCTCTCGGTGGCTTATCTTGGCATAGGAGGAAGAGTGCTTGTTTTGCTCGCAGAGTCTGCCTGTCAGTTCAGCGGAAGGTAGTCTGTCTGCTTGCCGGACGGTAAGGCACGTTGTGGGGTTACCTGAAGGGCAGGCCGGAGGAGCCAAAGGACTCGTCCGTTTGGCATCCCCGTTGGCTGCGTTCGAAGGCGGTGAGGTCCGTCTGCATCCCGCGGGTTTGACGGACAGGCGCTGCGGCCTGAGTGCCCACTTCAGCCTTGGTCGTGGCGCGAGTCCAACGTGTGCGCGGAGGCGACTCAATCGGCGGTCTCCGGTCATTAGAGCGCGTCGAACGCCGACGTAACAGGTAAGGAAAGCTATCTTCTTCCGGAAGCGAGCCCAGCGCCAGTAGCGTCGCACACGACGCTCGCCGACCCTCTCCCGGACTAACCGTCGCCTCCGTCGACCACGTTGGCCGCGGCACAAACTCCCCACCGCGCCTCTTACTCGGAGGACTTGGATTCAACGGCGGCAACTCCGTCCGTGCATACTGCCCACTCGGCGACGCATGGTAATCCTGCCTTGACCAACTTGGTCCCACCGCAGGACTTGGTCCCGCCACAGGACTTGGTCCCGCCACAGGACTTGGTCCCGCTACAGGACTTGGTCCCGCTACAGGACTTGGTCCCGCTACAGGACTTGGTCCCGCTACAGGACTTGGTCCCGCTACAGGACTTGGTCCCGCTACAGGACTTGGTCCCGCTACAGGACTTGGTCCCACCACAGGACTTGGTCCCACCACAGGACTTGGTCCCACCACAGGACTTGGTCCCACCACAGGATTCTGCAACCGTCCCGAGTCCTGTCGGATCAGCAGTTCCGCTCGGGTCAATTCCGGGCCCCCGGACTCCGGGCGGCCGGGCAATGCTGACCGCGTTCGGGTAGGCGGGTCTCGCGTCTCAAGAATTGGCCCGCGCATGAACGAGGGCGCCGGCAGCGCTACGAAGCTGCCGCCGCTGTCCGTCGTCGTGGTGGGTGCGTCTTGCGATTGCCCCTCGCCGAGCAACCGTCTTCCTTCGTCAAACAGTTCCTCCAAATGGGGTAGGTCCCGGCCGACGGTGTCCCGGTCCCGGTCCCAACCGACAGGGTCGTCATGTGCTGGACTGGGCTTGGTAACTTGTAGCTGCGGTGTTGGGGTGGCGGAGTTCTGGTGAGGTAAAGCAGAGGAGCGGCGGGTCATGCCGTTCTGGCGGCGGTCAGAGCGGCCGAAGTGTTTAAGAGTCTCGACACTCCGGAGCAGGACGTGCGGTCGAGTTTCGGATTCGCCCTCGGCGGCTGCTGAATGGCGACGAGTACTGGTCGAGTTGCGTCGGTCCAGCGTGCCCGATTCGAGCAGGTTCCGCAGTCCCGTGAACGAGAACACCGAGCCCTTCCGCTTCGCTGAGGCCGTTGTGGACGGCGTTTGCTGTTGCGGTTTCTCCAGGTGGTGTTTGTCCAGGCGGAGCTGCTGCTTGTCCAGGCGGAGCTGGTTCTCCAGGTGGTGGTGCTTGTCCCGGTGATGTTGCTGATTCTCCAGATGGTGCTGGTTGTCCAGTTCCAGCAATACGGAGTCCCCTGCCATGGAAAGTTTATGGATTGGAGAGTCGTCGGTATCGGTCCAGGACGCCGGCGGGGGTTGGTTCTAGGTCGAGTTTTCGGTGCACCAGGGTTCGAGTAAAAAAGGGAGCAGTCGGTTGGGCGGGAAGACCGGACCGGTTTGTGTTTAGAGCGGAATTTCAATGTGGCGTGCTTCAGGGAAGACCTTGCTGAGAGGGCCGTGTGTGGGTACACGCTTGGCAATGACTCCGTCAGAGAAGACCTTGCCTTCGGCCTGAAGGGCGGCGTACTCATCGCGAGTGAACTCGGTGAAGCCCCACTTGTCGCTCTTGACGACACGTTGACGACCGGGGAACTTATACTTGGCTCTGGTGAGGGCAATAACGGCGTGGTTAACACGTTCATCGCGGCAACGGATGGACATGAGGGTTTGCCCAATGTGCACGCGTGCTACAAGACCGTTAGGTTTGCCGTAGGCACCTCTCATGCCGGTCTGCAGCCTATCTGCACCGGCACAGGAAAGCATCTTATTGATACGCAACACATGATACGGATGTGCGCGCACACGCAAGTGGAAGGCCTCCCGACCACAGAACTTAATCATGTACCTGTTAGCAGACACACGTGCCGCCTCCAGCGCCTCAGAAGAAATCTGCTCATGCTCGTCCGATATCAGATGTACAACCGCAGGAAACTCATCTACGTCTGCCTTCTTCCGCCCCGCATCGTACATCTTGATTTTGGGGTCGGGCACGCCACGGCAGAAACGAGACTTCGGGTACGGCTTGTTCTTGCAGTACCTGTAGCAGCGAGCCGGACGTCTTCCCATCTTCCTGAAACACCCGTCCTTTTTCACCGTGAAAAAAAATTAAAAACGTTTTGTCTTCCTACAGCACCATGCGCTTACACCACCCTGTGCTTACGGCACCCTGCTGTCACCCACTCTGATGATGCTGCCATCACAGGCATCGTTGTACGAAACAACATCGAGGAGCCGCTACAGGCCAGAAGCACACACGTTTGCCAGATGCGTTGCTGCCTTTTGGCAAGTGCACCGAAACAAACTGCGGGTTAGGGGGGCCGTGACCGATTCCTGAGACTAAGGGAGAGGGGAGTAAAATGACTTGCCCTGGACGAGCTGCCGGAGACAGCTTTTTTTTATCATAAAGTGAGAGCGGCAGAATGGCGAACGTAAGACAAGGGTCAGGTAGCGGAGCACTGTGGGTTCTGGGTGGGAGCATGGGGGCAAGGGGGATTACCGGCAGTAATCTAGGCCCCCTGCGGTCATTAGCCGGGTTACGTTCGGTGGTGGTGCTTGCGTGTTGAGTGCATTTAATGCACTTCGCATGAGTTAATGTATCTGTCTGTGTGTTGTATCTGTTTGTTACGAGTGTTGTTTGTTTACAGGTCGTGCCGAATATTTTGCAGCAGGGCGGACAGGAGGACCGTGGTGAGAATGCGCGTATGCAATGTTATATAGGAGCTATAGCGATTGGTGATATGATGAAATCGACGTTGGGTCCGCGTGGGATGGACAAGATATTGATGCCCATGGGTGGTGAGGGTGGGTTTGTTCAGAAGCAGGCGGTAACGAATGACGGTGCTACTATATTGAATTCGATATGGATAGACAATCCTGCGGCTCGTATTTTGGTAGATGTATCGAAACGTCAGGATCAAGAGTGTGGGGATGGTACGACAGGTGTTGTAGTGTTAGCTGCAGAGTTGTTACGTGTTGCAGAGAAGTTAGTTGACCGTCGTGTGCATCCACAGACGATTATATCTGGATTCCTAATGGCTTTGGAAACGGCTAAGGAGTGTTTGGTGGGTGTTAGTTTTCAGAGCACAGATGACGCGCAATTGAGGGAGAACTTGATGCGTATTGCTAAGACGACATTGAGCAGCAAGATATTGAGTCATGACAAGGAACATTTTGCGGGACTCGCTGTGGAGGCGGTAATGCGGCTTAAGAACAAGAACAACTTGTCGCTCATCCAAATTCTCAAAAAAAAAGGTGGCATATGCAGTGAAAGCCGATTAGATGAGGGGTTTATCCTGGAGAAAAGATTCAGTACCGGTCATCGTAAACGCATTGAGGACGCAAAAATCATGGTCGCAAACACGCCTATGGACACGGACAAAATTAAGATTCTTGGCGCTAAAGTGAATGCTGAAGATTTTGATACAGTAGCAAATATTGAACAGGCCGAGAAAGAAAAGATGAAGCGAAAGGTGGAGAAGATCGCCGCACATGGTTGCAACGTGTTCATTAATCGTCAGTTAATTTATAACTATCCCGAACAATTATTGAAGGAACGTGGTGTGTCAGCTATCGAACACTCCGACTTTGACGGTATGGAGAGACTGGCCGCAGCGCTAGGTGCTGAAATTGTATCCACATTCGACTCGCCCGAGATGGTCAAGTTAGGCACTTGCCGTCTGGTTGAGGAAGTGCTCATAGGAGAAGAAAAGGCCGTACGTTTCTCCGGCTGTGAACAACCGGAGGCATGCACGATCATACTACGCGGTGCTAACGAACATGTGCTGGATGAGGCCGAACGTTCACTTCATGATGCTCTCGCCGTGGTAGCACAGACCTGCCAACAACCACTTGTCGTCTGTGGTGGTGGCGCCGCCGAAATGGCCATGGCCGGCGCTGTGGAAAAACGCGCACAAACCGTCGAGGGCAAGGCTGCACTCGCCATGCAGGGCTTCGCTGACGCATTACGCGCCATCCCAACCGTCCTCCTCGATAACGGCGGCTTCGACAGCGCAGAAATCGTCGCCAAACTACGCTCCTGCCACGCATTCGACAGCCACTTCGGCGTAGACATCGCTGCTGGTGACGTCGGCAATATGCGCGAACTAGGCGTCTACGAATCCTACAAAGCAAAACACGCGCAACTCTGTGCTGCCGTCGAAGCAGCCGTACAAATCATCCGAGTAGATAACGTCATCCGCTGCGCTCCCAGGCAACGACAAGAAGAATAAAAACCTTTTTAACCGGCCACAGTTGCCCAGCACACGCGTTTCCGCTGCGCACGCGTTTCCGCTGCGCACGCGTTTCCGCTGCGCACGCGTTTCCGCTGTGTACGCGCACAAATTGACTGCATAGTCAGCGCCGCCATACCACACACAGAACATGGGTGGGTGTGTTCTGTGCCTCCCTCACACAATGTGCAGCGACCGACACAGCATGTGCAGCGCATTGCCTGTGCGTGGCACAGCACAGTGTTACGCGGCCGGCTTGTATTTCTGCTGCTGGCTGCTTGGGTGGTGGGTGGTCTTGGGTGGTGGTCTTGAGTGATGGTCTTGAGTGGTGGTCTTGAGTGGTGGTCTTGAGTGGTGGTCTTGAGTGGTGGTCTTGAGTGGTGGTCTTGAGTAAGTTGTCGGTCTTCAGGTAGTTTGGTCAGTCGTCGGCGGGTGTTGCGAGTAGGTTGTCGAAGAACTTGCTAACGTCGTTCCAGACTTCATCTACGGGTCGGTTGGCGTCTACGTTGAAGCATTTGCCTTCTTCTGTGAAGTGTTGGAGGATGGCCTGTGTTTCATTTTGGAACGTTTGGAAGCGTTTTCGGAGTGAGACGATATTGTCGTCGATACGTCCCGAAGTTTCGCCTCTTTTCAGGAGGCGTTCCTCCATGACGCTTTCAGGGCACTCGAGGTTAAGGCAGAAGGCCGTCTGGACGTCACCGGCACATGCGGCATACCAGCCGTCGAGATTGTTTCGATTACGCGGGAAACCGTCAACCAAAAAGCGACCATTATCCCAACCAAGTACGCGCATCTTCATACGCAGTAGCTCGCACGTAATCTCCACCGGGACGATCATACCTTCACGGATATACTTCTCAATCAGCGCACCGTACTCACTCCCTTCGCGAGCACGCTCCTCACGTAAACAGTCTCCAGCGGATATATGATGAAAGCCGTAACGCTTCGCCACCAAACCACACTGCGTCCCCTTACCCGCTCCCGGACCACCAAGCACAAACACTACCACCGGACGTGTATCCTTAGCCATTTCAAAATAATTACCACCAACTTGCCGCACGACCATTACAGTTTTCCGCACACCAGGACCCAAACTCACCCCTGTGCCGGCGGCTAAATGCGCCGTGCGCTGATCACCCGCCGCACACTCGTGTCGCGGCACACCCGTTCGTATACACCAAAAAATCCACACCGACTATTTAACCTCAAGTCTGCCGACCGGTCGCGGCTATTTAACCAGTGCCGCCTGCTCAACCAGTGCCGCCTGGTCAACCACTTCGCCCTTAACACTTGCCGTCACCGCCAACGACACACACACAGCAACCTGGCCGGCACCGGTACGAGTGAACCACCACTTCCGTCTTGCACGGCGCCCCGCAATGGGCTGTATTCTTGCCGCACCCACCGCAGCTCGGGCCGCAACGGCCCGCACTGCACGCGCGTGTGCTGCCGTACGCGTGTGCCGCGCTGCACGCGTGTGTCACGTACGCCGCGCGCCCAGCACCGCACCCGCGTCCAGGACCACGCGCGTCTGTCGCACCGCACGCGTGTTTAGGGGGACCACACGTGCCTACGTCTGTCCCATGCGCCCCGTGTCCGGGATTGCACGCATGTGCAGGACCGCCGTTGACGGGACGCACACAGCGCGGTGGCGTCTTTCCACGGCGACGACAGTGAGCGCCATTGCAGCCGCAACGGGCACCTGGACACTCCCGTGCGAGGCAGCGTCTCTCGCCACTCTGCGGCGAAGAAGCAGCGCAGGGTACGGACGCAGCGCCCCGTGCGCAGCGGCCGCACGGTGCTAGGTCACCCCGACGCGCGAGATCAACGCACGAGCACCGCGCCTTTGTGGCATTTGCGGCCACTCCCGGACAGGGTGCATTTGCGGCCACTCCCGGACAGGGTGCATTTCCGGCATTTGGGCTCCCGTCGATCGTGGTCGATTCTTGTCGCGACGGTTCTGCACTGGTCGGCCAAGATCGCAGGCTCGCGCTCTCAGACCCGCCGCGCGGCCTCCACGTCATGCCCGGCCCGGGCGCCGCCGCCGCCGTCTCTGCAGAAACGCCGTGCACCGGGCACGGGGAGTTTGTG